AAGGGTTACCTCCTTCCCTGATGACACCTGTCCTTTGCCGGTCTTCCGAGTACACAAAACATTTAATAAAGCTTTCCTCAGCACTTGTGGCATGGAGTTACATTTTCTAAGTCTGCTCCTTTGAGTAGACTTGAGGTCCTCCAGGACAGGGTTCTTGTTTCCTTTATCCTTGGGCCCACGACAGACCCAGCACACAGATGGACCCTGGGGATGTGAGGGAAGAAGGACCCTCGTCGTTGCCTGGTGGGAAGGGCAGCAGGAGGAGATGCAGCAGACTCCTTTCTCCCCTCTCTCTGCTGCATTTCTGGGGGCTGATTGAGCTTCTAGTAGTTGTCCTACATTCAGGCAGCAAATATGGATTGATGCTCCCCATCCAGAGGCAGATGTGCTCAGCTCCTGAGGGGCTCCTTCCAGGAGGAGACTGAGGAGCAAACACGTCATTAAAACACCAAGTCTGGACATGTCCCAAAATTGGTAAACCTCTAGCTGATCTAATAAAGGGAAAAGATATAAATTGTAACTTTAGTGGATATCACCACAGATCCTACAGACATTAAAAAGGTAATAAGAGAATATTATAAGCAACTTGATGCCAGTAAATTCAGTAACTTAGGTGAAATGGATATTCCTTGGAAGATACAAATTAATAAGAGTAACTCAAGAAGAAATAGAAAATCTGTATAGCCCTATGTCTAAAACCTCACAAAGAAAACTTCAGGCTGAGATGACTTCATTGAAGTCTTATCAAACATTTAGGGAAGAAATAATACCAATCCTACATAACCCTAATTTTATTGATAATAAGTTTTGTCCCTGGCAAAAGGATTTCAGACATTATGAAACAGATCAATCAGGCTCTGTTTTGGGCAGGGCTATCTTGGAGACCCCCTGAAGTCTTGCCTCAGAGGCCCTTTGCTCCTGCAGACTCTAGGGAAGGTGAGGGCAGGGGCAAGGCCTAGGTGTGAGACCTGGGCTGGGGTCAGAAATGTAGAGTACCTCCAGACACAGGCAAGTGGGCTGTGGGGAGGACCCCAGTCAAGGCTATGGCTTTCCTGCCCTCCAGCTACCGGTATTCCTAAGAGTTTGACTCTTCTGGAGTTGGTGGAGAGAGTAGTAGTTAAGTTGGCAAAGAGTTGATGAAGGTTGTCTGGGCTAGCCTGGAGAGGCTGCAGGAGATGCCCCCACACTGAGAGGGATTTGGGGAAGGGGTAATAAGGGCTGGATATGAATGGGAATGACCGCAGGCCTGTGTCTGGGCCTAGGGTCAGACCCAGAGGAGCTATGGAACACTTTGCCTGGAAACCTCAGAAGGCTGCCTTGAAGAGGTGGCCTTTAAGCTGGCCTCTAGGACTGGCCAGAGATTGGGTTTTCAGAATGGACATTTCAGAATTAGGGACACAGTTAGGTGTCAGGGTATTCTGGACAGGGGCCAATGTGAACGGGCTGCAGGGCGAGTGTTGGGGCCTGGGGAGGCTGCACCTTGAGGAGAATGACTCTTGTCTTGGGTGTGTGTGAAGCCGGCGAGAGCTTTGAGCAAAGACCCAGGGCAGCATGATCTGACTGGTGTCTTTGAAGAGGACGGATGGATGAGGTGGCGAGAGACTTAGGGGAGATGGGTTTGAAAAAGAAGGAGAAAAGGGCAGTAGGCGGCTGCGTTCTCCAGAGTAGAGGAGGTGGCTGGCTGGCTGGCAGGAAAGGGTGGAGGGGAATAGCTGGGTGCTCGGTTGTGGTGGGGACCTAGGAGATGGGGAAGTAGTGGAGAACAGGGACTGGGAAGGAGGGAGAAAGGCAGGGAGATTTGGGAAGGGTGTATTTAGAGAGTGATTAGGCAGTGAGTGGGATTTAAGGGTCTCGGGGTGGGCGAGGGGGGTCTCTAGATTTGCTGGGGATGCTGTGCACTTCGGGCCCTGCGCTCCCATGGGTGTCCGCCAGGGCTTAGACCTAAACTTGGACTGGCTGTGGCCGGTCTGAGCACACACGGCCAGATCTCAACCATGGGGGAGTGCAGAAGAGGTGGCTGGGATCAGAGCTGTTTTCAGAAACTAAGTGCCACTCTTGATACACTATCTCTCATCTCCTTGGCAAGAATACAGGGTGGGGATCAGGAAGATCTCGATCAGACCTGCAGCTCACACTGACAAGTTCTGTGACCTTGGGCAAATCTTTTCCCTTTCCCTGCCAGCTGTTTGCCAGGTTCCCTATGAGTTGAATTGAGGACCTGGAAGGCAGCGGTCCTGCCAGCCCTCAGTTCTGAGGGCTCTCTGAGTCTCTCATGCTGGGGTGGGCGGTGAGGCTGTCTGCACTTCCCTGCCACCATCCTAGACAATGAGGGTCCTGGGTTGTGACCTAGGCCAGGATTGCCCCAAAGCTCTTCCTTCTCGTGAATGCCCACTGTCCTAACTGAATCACTGTTTAGCAGGAAGACCAGAGTACACCTTTTCCAGCACCCCCAATGTGGCCTATTTATTTGTTCACCTGCTGCTGCCCCACACCCATCTTATCGTTCCTGAGCCCCTGCTCTTTGCACAGCATCCCAGGCTGGGGTCATCCTTAACCTCGTGCCATCTGCAGAGCTAGTGCTGCACCCCACTCACCAGACTGCTGGGCATTTTTTTAAAATGTCATTTAGATAGCTGGGTGTTTTCTCATTTATTAATGAATAACTTGGCCTTTGCCAAGGCACTTAAGTGTCTCTGGGCCTCCAGGAGGGTGGTGGCAGCAGTGGCCGCTGAGTTTGCCCTTGTTCAAGGGCTGGGAAGTGGCGTGATGTTTGCAAAGGACTCCTCCAAGAGACTGTTCCCACAGTCCCCGCCCCATCTACCAGCTGCTCCAGGTGAACAGAGGCCCCATGGAAAAAAGCGTTTTGCGGGGTTGCCCAGCAGCCTGCTTTGGGGAAAGCTAAGCCTTTTCTGCTCTTCCACCTCCCTCCTTACTCACCAAAAGGAGACATCTGCCATCCCCTTCCCCTGCAGCAGGCACCTCTGGCCATCAGGAATCTGCTGACTGGCAGTTGGGAAGGAGCTTTTTGTTCCAATGTCCAGGCTTCTGGCTTGCTTAATCAGCTAGCGTTTAGTCAGGGAGGGGTGCATGTGTCAGTTAGGCCTCTATGGAAGGTCCCACCCAGGCCCCAGCAGCCCTGGGAGCCATGTGGACGACCTTAACTTGTTTCTTAGTTAAGAGTTTATACCCTGCCCTCCCTTCTCTCTTTGGCCATCATCAAGCGATTGCCTCTCTGCCCCAGGGCCTGCTTACCCAGTGAGGTCAGCAGGCTCTTAGGAAAGGCATCTGGTCCTTCCTCCAGCAGCTGTCCTCTGGCTTCCATTGCCTTAGGACTCTAGCCAGAGCCCTCTGTGATCAGCCCCACCTGCCATCACAACCTTATCAGTATTCACCTTCACCCATGACTATTACTCCAGCCACCTGCCTGTTCTTCAGACCACACCCTGCCTTTGCTCAAGCCGTGCTCCCCGCCAGCAATGCCCTTCCTACTGCTGTCTCCCCATCCTGTAAGACCCAAATGCTGCCCATCCCTTAGTAGGAAGTCCTCTACCCACCCCACAGAACCATGTTGACCTCTCTCATGTAGCTGCTGTTGCACATTCTGCTGCCTCGTCCCCATGAGACTGAGCTACCCTGGGTTGAGAGAGCGAGGGGGGTGTCTTAATTTGTTCATATCACAAATGCCTTTCTCTGGGCCAGGCCTCCTGCCTGGTTTAGTGGTCTCCTCCCCCATATGTGTGAGGCCAAGGAATGGTGGGGTCTGGTCGTTCTCAGGGTCTCCGTGATGAATGCTAGCAGGAAGTGACTCATAAAGCAAAGCCCGTCTCGGGAGGCAGTTGTCAGTGCCGTAAACAGACTTCTAGGAGAAGTACTACTGGCAGCAATATTTCTAATAATTTTCATGTCAGCTCATTCTTATATCCATCCCCGCGGGTTCCCTATGGCAGAGGCTCACAGATGTCTCCTCACAACACTGCTCCAGCCAGAGTCAAAGGCAGGTCGCTGCGGGGCATGAAGTGTGCACTGACACCCTCTGGAGGGCCGACCCTGGCGTGCGGGGAGACCCTGGACAAGACTCTGTCCTGGAGCTTCTCACCCAAGCCCTGAGGGCGTGGTCACATGCATTGGAACACACACACACACACCCTGCGTATCTGTTTGTCTGCACAGCGGGTCTGATCTAACAGCAGTAGTCACATAGTAAGGGAGAAAGCCCGGGAAGGCATTTTCTGCTGCAGGTGGAAGCAGTGTGGCCATGTCCTTTGTTGTGGCCCTTGGTGCACCTGGAGAACAAGCATACTATGTCAAGGTTGAGATGCACATGACTTCTCTCGATTTTCACAGAGGTCAGGGGCAGGAGGAAGACTGAAAAAACAGATTTAGAAGAAATTTTTCCCATAGAAACTTTGAACTTGTTCTCCTTCCCTCTGTCCCCCTGAATACATTGCAAGAGGGAGTCTTGTTACAACCGTCCTAGTTTGAGTTATGCTACCCCTAAAGGGAATGGGTGTTTCTGGAGAGGCCCCTGGCCTGGAGGGAAGTCAGTGGGCCTGAGCTTTTGTCCTGCCAAGGTTGCTGGTGACTGCTCTTCCCAAATCTCTCCCAGCTCAGCAGGTGGCTCCATACAGACCATGAAAGTGACTGCTGACCTGCAGCGTGGGCTTTCCATGGCACCAACCACCTTTGTTTCTCATCGCCTAAAACCTTCCAGCTCCTCCTGCTAGTGTTCTCTGAGGGCCATCTTGGGCCTGGGCCTGGGCCTCAGCTGAGGCTATGGATTTTTAAATTCTGCCAGGGGAGTTGCGTGGAGAGTGAGGCTCCAGCGTTGTGCCCATGGTTGCAGGAGGCATGTGCCCTGCTTGGAGGCTGGAACACCACGCTGGTCCTTGCCAGGGTGCCTGGCTCCGGGGATGTCCTGTTCTTGATTGGCTGCCTGGGCAGTGTGGACTGGAAGCAGAAGTGTTCATCTGAGCAGGTGCTTTGTCTCCCTTCCTTTGCAGGACAAGGAAGACGGGGAGCCAAAGACCAAGCAGCTCAGAGAAGGGGAGGAGGAAGGCGAGAAGCACAGGTAATGCCTCGCGCGCAGCTCTCTACCCTGCGCTCTCCTCTGGTGCCTGTTGGTTTCCACATCCTCCCAACTCTGCGTTCAGAGTCTACCTTGTTCCTTCCTCTCCACCCCATGCTGCCTGTTCAGACCTGAAAAATCTCACCCTTCTCCCCAGTTAGAGCCTTCTCTGCACCCTTTCCCCCACTGGCCGTCTGGCTGTTACTCAGCCACCAGCATTTTCTTCCTAACCCTCGCGTTATGTCTCATCACTCTTCTCAAATGCCTTGCATGGCGTGGCTCTACAGCACCTGCAAAATCAGGTCCAAATTCTGCCTGGTGTTTAAATCTTGGCCTGGGCTACCCGGCCTTGTGCAGCCTCCTCTGGTTTCCCTTAACCACCCCTGGTCACTCAGCATTTCCTGATGGTGTCATCTCTTTATGCTGTCCTCTCAGCCTGGAATTCCTTTTCATCTCCTCTCCACCTTTGACATCTCAGTCTTCCCGTAGAGTTCAGCTCAGAGGCCTCTGCTTCTCTCTGTCTCTGCTCCCCTGCCCCCCTCAGTAATCCCTGGAGAGTATTTATCTTATTTTGCCAAATCCTGTCATCTAGTTGAGTCAACTTGAGTCACCTAAACATAGCACTTTTCCCCATGGCTGCAGGCATGTGGTCTGCCCCCTGAGACTCAAGGGCCAGAATCTCTACGAAGCTTTGGATGCTGCTTTGCATCAGAAATGCCAGGGAAACATTTGCGGAGCCACTGTGTTGGGTGGGGAGGGGCTGTGTGGTCTGTCTTGGTGAGCTGGGGAGAACCTTCATGTCTCCTAGCACTTCCGTGCCAGAAGTTCCAGGGGTCTCGTGCCCTCCCTCCTGTGCCCAGCCCTGAGCTGGGGCCACAAGGTAGCTGGGGAACTCTGCTTGGGATCAGACTTGGTGTCTGTATGGACAGGTGGTCTCGATGTCCACTGCCCTGAGCAGTTTCCTTCAGGCACAGGGCCTGTGCAGGTGCCTGCTCACTTGAGGGAGTAGATCTTGAATCCCAGTAGAGGTCATACAGTAGAGAAAGCTGACCTCAGTGGGCTGTGCGTTGAGGGGGTGCAGCAAGAGGGGAGGGATGCTCCCCGCAGGAAGCTGAGCTGGCACTCGGGAGCAGGCCTTCCTGATGCCATAGCCTCGTGTTGCCTTCACAGTGTGAGTGGAACCTTCCTCAGGCGCAGGCCCCTCCTCTCTGCCTTCTTATTCAGGAGCCCTTCTCAAAGGAGATGGGGGTTTTCAAGTCCATAGGGGTGTGTGTGTGAGCATGTGTGTGACTTGACAGTTCACAAAGTGTGTTCACACTGTCCTTGCCACCTCACGTGGGCTCAGAGGTGGTAACAGCTCTGTGCTGAGAGACTGGTGATGCTGAATGGTGGCACCTAGACCCTCGCCATCCTATTTCTGGGCTCTGTGCTTTCTTATTGGGCTTTAGTGTCCCCAGCACCTCAGGGGGCCTGCACTGGTGACAGAGATGAAGGCCAGTTCATTGCTCCTTTGCCAAGTGACCCCAGCCTTTTATGGTGTGGGGGTGGGTGCCTGCACAGTTTGCCCCATTCTGTGGTAACTGCTCAGAGAACCTTTGGTTTTCTTCTGGTTTGTTCTTAGGTTCTCAATTGCTGGCTAGAGCCTTAAGTCCCATTTTCTGGGCTGTCTTTGCTGAGAAGCCCCTTCTCTGAGCCTCCTTCTCATTAATGAGAAAGAGAAGGGTCTTTGGTTAGCAGGTGGGTAGGTCATACAGTAGAAGACTTGAATGTTGAACCATGTGGTTGAATCTCAAACATGGTGTTGAGTGGTAGAAAAAGCAGACTTCAGAATTGAGACGTACAGGGCAGGAACATTAATATCAAATGGAAAGCACACACAATGATATGTGTGTTATTCAGTCAACAAGTACTGACTTGATTGGTTGTCTGATTTGTCCAGGGCACCATTCTAGGCCCCTCGGAAGGAACAGTGAACAAAACACAGTCCCTCCCCTCATGGAGCTGGCATTCTCTAGAGGGAGACAGACTGTTAACAAGGAAGCAAATGTGTGGTCAGATGTCTGGGGCCGTGAAGCGGAAGCTGCAGAAGTGTAAACATGCTCGTGGGGGAATCACCAGCTCCTGGCCTCAGACTGGCTGCTGGGGAAGCCGGGAGGAAACAGGATTAGGGAAAGGCTTTAACTGGCTTCAATGTGTGATTTCTTTAAAAAAAAAAAAAAAAGAGAGCAACAAACAAACCTGTCTCAAATATGGAAAATGTTGCTTTTGTTGACTCGGGTGGTGAGTACATGTGTTGTGTTACTCTCTGAACTTTTTTGTGTGCCTGAGATATTTCATAATAAAAACAGTGTGATAAAGAAAGTGAGAGAGATGCATAGTGCTAGGTTCCTATCAGTGAGCTCTAGAGACCTGCTGACCTGCTAGGTCTTAACGAGTCATTGGTGGTGGAGCACAGGACCCCCTGTGAAGTGCCATGCTGAGCCTGCCAAGCCAGCAAGTGCAGGGCCCCTGTTCCTTTGCTTGTAGCAGCCCAGGGACCAAACATGCTGGACATTGAATTGGGTTCTGCTTCAGCTCATCCTGTTCCACTTTTCTCTGATTTGGCCTTTTTTGGGCAGTGGAATGTGGTGGAACAGGTCTGGCTTGGTAATCAGGAGCTTGGCTTCTGGGCCTGTCCCTCTAGAGACTTTGGGCAGGGTGACTTGGACTTCTCTCAGCATCCCTTACCTGGCAGGACCTGTTGCTCAGTCCCTCTCAGTTGTCAGGAAGCCCAGCCTTAGCTTGGAATGGAGTTGTGTCTGCATTTGCAGCCCCCCAGGAAAAGTGGACTCTCCTGATTTTAACAGGCTTAGGGCAAAGAGCTTGCCTGGGTTCTTCAGGAAGACAGAGCAGAGCCTTGGTTTCTGTACCAAGGGGCCAGATCCATGTGGGCTTAATCCCAGACTGCAGGGTCCAGGGATTGGGTGTGGCCTTTCCAGGAAGAGCAGGAGGTAACAGAGTCTGTGTCCATCCCAGGAAGGGGGGACCTTTCTCTTCATCTGTACCGCAGGTCTGGAAAGGGACCCCCAGCAGGATGCTTATGGCTTGGGAGCAGGCTCCACAGGGCGCCTAGGCTACAGCCTCTGCTATAGCCCCCATTGCTAATGGAGAGAAAGGGGTGACCTTCCAGCTCCCCTGGGAAGGGGAGGAATGACCTCTGAGGCCAGTTGCTAGTGAGCATCTCGGCTCTCAGCTTCCGCAGCTCCTGGGAGGCAAGAACAGCTCACTTCAGTCCAGGTCAGCCCGGGTTGAGCCTAAGTGCCAGGTGGGAAGCCCTGTGGGCACCAGCCCTTCTGAAGTGTCCTGAGAGGAATGCAATGGCCACTCCAGGCTGCCTTCACCCATGGGCAGCAGGACAAGGCCTCATGGAGAACATTCCTCTTGAGTTACGTCTGGAATTCTAGAGGGTAGGATTTGGGCAGCCAAGGCCCAGCAGTGTGAACCAGCAGTGTGAAAGTGTGAGTGGTGTAACCCCTTGTTGGGTAGGCATGGACAGACATCCCACCCAACCCCGTGCTCATAAACCCCAACCCAAGCTTTATATAGGTCACTGTAACAGGGAGGAAGATTAGTGGTGGCCTCTAGGCACTGCAGACACATGACGTGACGTGACAGGGGGCCAGTTCATTGATTGGTGTCAGCTAGTTCATCGAGCACTTTCTTATACACTGGGTGGGACTCAGGGAAATAAATGCGGAGATGATTCTTTGTTAGCAGCAGGCCCAAAATTGGAGGAACTAGGCAGATGGAAAGAGTTCAGGATTTGGACGCAGCACCCGGGTTTGAAGCCAGGCCCTGCCAATTATTGGCTCTCTGACCCTGGGCAAGTCACATCGCCTCAGTGAGCCTCAGCTGAGTATCTTCACCTGAAAGATGGGGATAAAAATAAAAGTTGCTTCTCTAATAAGAGGAGCAAATGCCATAGCTGTTTACCTGGCTAGTGCTTAGGCTCTGGGCAGAAGGAGAACACTTTGAGGCCCTCCTGAGAGAGCTAAAGGACTGCAGACACACCTGGAAAAGGCAGAATTCACTTTTACGTCAGGCCTTTGTAACTTTACAAAGAGGGCAGTCATTGGGAAAACAATGAGGTGGGTGGATAAGAGTAGAAATAAGCATATGTGACTAAGAAAGAAATGGTTAGGAACCCCTTTGTAGCACCTCCGTTGCTTGGTACAGTAGATGGTCCAGGGGAACTAAGTTGAGTGGCCTCGTTCTGTACAGTCTGTTGTCTGACCAGATACACTGTAGGGCCATGGTCTGTAACTGAGAAAATGGGAATAGCCCACAGGATTGGAACAGGCACCCTAGGACCTCACCCCTCACCAGCCTTCCTGGAGAACCACGCCCTTCCTCTCTGCCATTCTGCCCAAGGAGACGCTTTCAGAATCTTGGCTGTTCTAGTTCCTTTGCCTTTCCGTATAAATTTTAGAATCAGCTCATTCATATCTATAAAAACCTTGCTAGAATTTTGATTGGAATTGAATGGAATCTATAGATCAAAATTCCTTTTTAAATTTTTTATTACTCTTTTCAGGATAAATCCTATCCCATCCCCGTACAATCAAATCCCCATTGGGTAGGAGTCTGCCCCCTGCAGGTCAGCCAGCCCAGACCAGGCTCTGTGGGAAGGAAAGATGTGTTCCCAACCCCAGAAGGGCCTCTGTTTCTCCTCTGGGCTGTATCTGCCCTCTCCCAGCCAGCCTTCCCTTGTGGCTATCTCTGCAGGGCTATCCATGACTCATCTCTAACACAGCCCCCTGCTGATTTCCTAGATAAGATGTGATCTGGCGGCCCTGGAAAGCTGGCCCACGGAAAAGGGTGTTCATGTCAGCTGCTTTTGTTTTTTTTAAGCCCTCAGTCACTTCCTCCTAATGGCAGGTCAGCCGATGTGTGCTGTGGCGGCGTGTCTAGGGTATGGTTTGTGGCTGAGAGTCATGGCCACCCTGCCAGGTGGGAGGAGAGGG